AATTTTAAATAATAATTATTAAATATAAATTGCGAAAATAATTTTTCGTTAAATTAAGAAATAATCAACAAATAGCGATATAATTAAGATGGCAAGGAGTGAAGTAACCCTTATAAAACAGAGAAAATAATTTCAATCAAATATGTTTGTAAACAACAACAATTACCAAGTGCTTCTGTTTATTGTGGCAACCGATAAATTTTGTCATATAAAAAATGCTGATTACGAATTAAAGTGAATTTCTAAACAAGGAAGTTTAATAAAATAGTTGTTATAACAACTTCCGCTAAAAGCCAAAGCAAGTTAAACTCATCCTTATTGACGATAAATAATTATGTAGGTATGATGTATGAAGTGCCCAAAAGACACTTATTATTAAGAAATAATTACCAGTGAATTACCTAATCGAATATGCATATCAATTGATCCAATAAAAACATATCATTTAATAGACCTGTCCAAATTAATCGTCAAACTTTTGATTGTAGACACGTGTTTCGACAAGTTCTAATAATAAGGGAATTATTAACGGTCTACATTTTATATGTAGTACTTACCAATGCAACAATAATTATTCATATCTGGTATCTCTAAAAATAAGATTCAACATCATCATAAGGTCGTCAGTCTGGTTGGACACGCACCTCCACTCTTTCCTACCCTGAGCTAATTTTCGTATTTCCCTAAAACTAGACAGCCCACATCCTTAACTATTTGCGAACAGTAATCTAATCTAGGTCTACCTCTACCCCTCCTAACTTCCATTTCTGTCTTTAATATGTCTCTGACTAGATCTTCATGCCTGAGAAGATGTCCTACTTCTTATTGACTTCCATAAAGTCCCCTGTTCTATTCTTCTATTCTTTCTAATACCTCTTCATTTTTAACCTTCCCTACCTATGGTATCCTCATCATTCGCCTGGAACACCACATTTCAAACGCTTCTAACATTTTCTTTTCCGCCGCACCCAGCGTCCATGTTTCGCACCCGTACAGCGCCTCGATCCAAACTTACAACTAAAAAAAAATTTTTCGAATTTCTAAATTAATCGTTCCCGAGCATAGAAACTACTTCTTTTTATTGAAAGCGATTCAACCCTGCGCTATCCTCTGCTTTATCTGACTTTTATCTGACTTCCTAGATACCTAAAATCGGTCACTTCTTCTAATTTTTCGTCTCCTATCTTTACATTCCCTCTTTCCCTGCTTTTTCTTCCCTTGCCTACCAGTATTTTTGTGTTACTTTTATTTATTTTCATGCAGTACTGTTTTGTCAATACCGCTTCCATTTTATTTAAAGTTAAATCAAAAAGTCATTAACAAACACAGTTTACATTCGTGTACATCTCAATTAAAGTTTACTGACTGACCTCAAATTACAATACTCTTCTTATTAATCACGGATACAAAAGAACTATAAAATAATTTTATTATCTAATCATAACTCGTAAAAATTCAGTTCCGATATACTAAAGCTGCATTCAATGCAACTGCAATAAATTAGCATCTGTCTACCAATGGGAAGCTTGGAATTGAATATTATTTAAATAAGTTTTCTGCTGATAAATTTTATTGCCTGTCAATGGCCAATAAATTATGTGTAATTTCATTACTGTATATGTATGGTGTGTATAATTTTTTCGAAGTTCGATCATTTAATTAGAAAACAGACGACAAAGGCCAATGAAACAATCTGGAGTGCATTTCTAGTTTATCAATTCTTAAAGAATGATTTCACTTTGTAAATTATTTTCGTATATTACACTGATTGTACGTAATTATTGCATCATTAGTGATATGCACAGCTCTTAATTATTGCAAGAATAATTATAAACTTTAATGTGAATCACTGTTATCTATCACAAGAATGTTAAAGTTGGATAAATGGAGTAATTTATGTATGTATAAGCATTTAACTCACAACATTTTTAAATGTATAAGTCCATAGTGTTTAAATTGGAAATATGAAATAGTCGGAAGAAGCCAAATCTGGCAAATAAAGTGGATACAAAAATAAAGCGGTTCTTTTCAAGGAAGCAAAAGTAAGGATTTTTTTTACGATTAGTAATACACTTAAACAAACTAAATTTGTTTTACGAAACGAACAAGTACCTACACATATATTAAGGAGAGTAAAATGAACCAGAAATATCCTACGTGAATCTATGCATATATATATTTATATATATTTATGTAAGTGACTATTCTCAGACCTGTGCCAACTCCAATAATTGCATTCCATACAACAAATTCGTTCAAATGTCACACGTTTGTCGTTAGAGGTATGCACGCATTTTGTCGTTATTTAAATGAGCCGTTAATTGAAAGCGAAAGGTTTAATTTTTCAACAACCTGATTCAAATATTATGTCAAACAGTTTATTATTAACGAATTGGACCTCTACTAGAAAATTTTTTAGCTATAGAATTTATCATGTGAATTTTATTACAAAAAGAAGAACGTTGCGCGACGATATACGTTGGACAAAGTGGTCGAAGTTTAAATGTAGGAATCAAAGAACATATTTACGAAAATTGCATCAAAAATAATAATGCAAATATCCAAGTGTACCAGCCTAATAAGTAAATACTATTATTTAACGTAAAAACTAGTTTAACCGTGTATGGCATAAATACTTGGTTGATTTGTCACAAACAATAAAGTTCCTTATCTACCTATTTATACGTACACATACATACATTACACATGTACATACGTAAAATTGGTTAAAAACACCATAAGTGGTCAATTCTCCAATTGTTCCGGTCGTGAAAATTAATTGCATGACCACATATAGTACATACCTACACACGCACACGATGTGCATACATAAAACACGTTCGTTTAATGTACCAATTCGTAAAATATAATTTCGGGAACTTTTTTATGAGTCATGGTCAAACTAGATGTATTTCAAATTACTGTCACGTACGGCAGTTAATACATTTCTGTATTTAGTTCTTGGTTTAATATCCAACAATAATTCCAAATCAAATTCATAGAGCAGGTGAGTAACATGGGTCACAAGCACAAACAAGACATAACAGTAAAAGAGACTAATCATTGTCTGACGTTTTTATATTTGGAAAAATCAAAATTGGCAAAGTCCACAATAAATTATCTGTTTCTTGTTTCCCCTTGTGACTGTAGTCATTTACTCCGTTTTGAACACGCTTTTGTTAAGTTAGGAAATGCTTCATAAATAGTATATACAAAATGAAAAGAAATAACCGACATTAGAGGTTGCTTAGGCACACAAATGATCAGGGTCGGCTTTATAACTGCCTGGTTAGAATAGTACCTTTAAACAAGCATCTTTACTTTTCTAAATTCCTAAGAATGTTAAACTTTCCTTAAAGTTCTATGCTGGCAGCATTGGTCAAATTCTCCTTGCCTGCGTCTCTCTCTGTTACACGTCAATTGGTGTAATGTTATTCCAGTGTCCGCTGCAATTCCTACCTGACATCTCTCTTCTAGGTTTACGATATTCCCTACAACGTCTGTTGTGTGTACAAGTACCTAGACGTTCTGTCAGCAACCGCTCTAGTCTAGTTACTAAGTTAAAAGAAGAAAGTAAATGTCATAGTTTTTATGTCAATCTCGAACGTCCCAACTATACCTTTTTAATACAGCAATACTAAATTGTATTCCAATACGTGCAAAATTTAAAACGTAAAATTGTAGGCCATACAGTAGGGGTTATACAGGTACGAAGAAAAGGTCCTTCAGATATAGGAAAACTAATTTAAAACTCTTAATGACACAATAGATTGCAAAATCTCCAACAATTCAATAAAGCATTAACTTTCACTGTTTATTAAATAAACTAATCCCACCCTATTGTTATTATGGAGCCTCCTCTATAACATAATCGACTATTATTGGGATCCGTCAAATGGGAGGAGCCTAAAAACATGGCGCCGATTAGGGAAAAGTTATCGTAGTTCCTGTAGTATACCGTGCAATTTCCAAGTTTTTAAGTTACGATAAAATGATAAGTATTGACACAATATGTGATTGGGCTGACATAAAGCCTCGGAAAGGAAATTTCGTTTTTAATGCCAATTACATTATTAAATTCGGAAATAACAAATCCGGAAGCTAGCCTTCAAATTCCGTCAAGTTTAGTGCCTACTTTTTACAAACTTCGGATTTAAAAAGTGATTCACGTTATATAATTGGTGAGGTGATTCTGGGTGATTTAAGCAATATCATATCAATGATTTGCACGTGCAAAGCCGATTTAAGAGAATATTGCAAACACATTATCGCAACTTTGTTGTATTGCAGCAGGTAGGTTCTTAACCTCAAAATACTTATATCGTATCATTAGAATTGTGTTAAATCAATTACACAGGAATAAATAATTTCTCACTTTATAGTTTTAGTATGATTCTAGTTCTAATATTAAGGTTATGGCTGATGGTAAATACTTACTTAAATATAATCATGTGCATTAAAATGAGGTGAACAAATTTTTATTCCGGAATTCACTTCTTTGATACCTACTGCTTTCATCCAAGCTTCTGTTAGTTTACTTTTTTCTCTAATTTTCCGAATATATTTTTTACATATA